GAGTTATTCCTGCACTTTTGGAATTTATTCAGGGTTTCAGTAAGTAACATTTACAGCAAGGCACATGTCCTTTTTTCTGTGCAACCTAAAGAATTACACATAATTTCTAAATACTGTATAATCAATCATTTTGAACATGAACAGTTTCCCCTGAATATGTCTCCAATCAATCTCTTGAGAGGTGTATGCTACATTTGACAATGATTTAAAGGTGCTGTGGTTGTGAGCAGCCTATAGAAAACTAGAAGAATTATCAGCTGTTGTATCTTCCTTTGCTAAATTTTCAAATAATTAATCCAGATATTTAATGAATTTTCACCACTTCAAGCTGATTGGGTGATTTCTGTCCACTCACAGACTTTTCAGCCTAACCTACCTCACAGAGTTGTTGTGCAGAATGAAAGGGGGAGAGGAGAATGATGTGAGCTGCTTTGGTCATCACTGTGGAGAAAGACTGTACTTTTCCTAGGTAGTGGCTGCAGGGAAGAGAAGAAGATTGGATTTATACCCTGCTCCTCACTCAGAGTCTCAGATCGGCTTACAAACTCCTTTCCCTTCCCCTCCCCTCAACAGACACACTGTGAGGTAGGTGGGGCTTAGAGAGCTCTGAGAGAAATTGCTCTTTCAAGAACAGCTCTGACAGAACTATGGCTGGATGGCTTAGACTTAGCCGACTGAAATTGAATCCAACAAAGACGGAGGTCCTGTGCCTGAGCTGGGGCAACCCAAGGGTAGGGATCCAGCTCCCAACCTTTGATGGGGCACTGTTGGTGCTAGCTCTGGAGGTTAGGAGTTTGGGAGTGCTCTTGGACAGCTCCTTAACAATGGAGGCCCAGGTAGCAGCCATTGCCAAATCAGCCTTTTACCACCTTTGGCTGATCAGGCAGTTGGTTTCCTTCCTCAAATGCAATGACTTGGCAACAGTGATTCATGCGATGGTCATCTTGAGACTGGACTACTGTAATGCTCTCTACATGGGGCTGCCCTTGTCTCAAATCCGGAAGCTACAGCTAGTGCAAAATGCTGCGGCCAGGATTCTGATGGATCTCCCTATGCGGGAGCACATCTAGCCTGTGCTGAAAGGATTGCACTGGCTGCTGATAGCATACCGAATTAGCTCAAGGTGCTGGTTCTTACCTTTAAAGCCCTTTATGGTCAGGAGCCTACATAGCAGAGGGACCATCT